CCCCAAAACCCCAAAACCCCAAAACCCCTTAGCACTTTTCTAAGACTGAAATAAAATATCTCTATAATAGTCAAATAGGCGCCCATATCCACTCTGTGGGTATCAGTTTTTACGGATGTGGCTGTATATCTCAACATGGTCTAGTCCATTGTCCTTCAAAACACTAACAGTATTTTGTTCAGCTTCGAAACATTGTGGAAATCATAAAATCTGTAGAGATTTCTTCAAGTCTGAGTTAGAAATACCTTCAATAAAGTTATGGAATCTTTTACCATTAAATCCTAACCAGCAGCGTTTATATCAACCATATTTCTCACCAAAGGTTAATGTTTCAATAGAGGTGTTCTTCAATGCTCGAGAAAAATCAGAGATATCTTCGAAATCTAATATGCATTCAGAGAACTTTATTGCCTTAACATGTTTGTACTCCTGAAAGAATTTAACCAGCCAATAGTCATCTTTTATTTTCTCGCCTTTGTTCTTCAAACATAGTTGGTTTTTAATGTTAAAATTGTAAAGTGTGACCTTTATTTGCACTTTAAGGTTAGCTCAAGTGAACCCATCCATGAATTTTTCAATTTTAACAAATTGATCTGCTCTTAATTCTAGGTGATTAATTTTTCTTGGAACTAAGCCACTTAGAATTGATTTTGCCAGTTCTGGGTGTCTTTCTGAGATATTTATTATCCTCACTTCGTCAAGCCAAATAAGAGTAATTTTCTGAAGCTTCTTGACGAGTTTATAGTTTGAAGGATCTTCCCAATCAATAACGAGCCTATCTTCAGGTCTAAAGCCTTCTTCTCCTGTTCTGAAATTATAACTGTTCATATTTTCGTGACAGGCAGCCCAGACTTGGCTGTCAATTTCAATAGTTTGCTCGTAAACTCTGTTTTCGACGTGAGTAAAAGTCTTTTTGTAATTCTCTCGGGCTTTCAAGACTCTGCTTCAGGTCAAAGCTAAGGAAGTACTTTTAGGGACTAATTTTTTGCCTGTCTTTATACACCTTTTCTTGGGCGGTCTCTTCTTCTTAGTAAGCCCATAACAGAACAAATGGTTGTACTTCTCCAGAACCTGGTCAACTTCAGCCTTCACCTGCTCAATGCCCAGTGAAAGAGCAGGGATCTGGTCGGTGAGGCCTGCCCAGTCAGTCTGGGAGATTTCGGCCTTTGTGCGAAGAAGACTCTGGTGGATTTGATGCAGCCGAATTGAGTAGGACTGGAGGTGGGAGGAGTTGTAGTGGTGCAGAGTCGATTTTGAGTGGAGGGTTTGGGAGATGGAGGCTTTGAGGGATTTTAGAAGTGGATGGGAGCCTTGTGGGAGGTGGGGGAAGGGAAGGGTGACTTGGGGAGAGTTGGTTGGGTCTGACATGTTTATGATATTATTAGTTAATTATAATTTAAGGTCATTTTCAAGCGAATTTGAGCCACTAGGGGTTTTGGGGTTTTGGGGTTTTGGGGTTTTGGGGTTTTGGGG